AAAATTATGACATGAAGCTTTTCCCTTATTTGAAGATGACTCGGATAGAAAATCAAATGAATTTTTTTCTTATTGTTTTATAATTGGGTATTCGTATTATCCATGCCAAAACCTGGAAAGACCTTGAAGTTATTTTGTCTAACCTACAGAAATAGAATGGTTTTAGGACTGCAACTTGCCTTTTGTAATGTAATTAGATTTTGATCCACGCCAAGCGTGGGAATAAATTATTAAATATATTTATAATCTATTTTAATATGTAAAATATGTATGACAAATCATATGATTTCTAATCTTTATAAACTTACAAAATGATATGCATTGTGCATAAGTATAATCAAGTTAACTTTTGATCAAACATATTTTGATGCCATCAGTTTTAATATTTTTATGTGCAATAGATCAGAACATATGAAAATGTTATTTATTTCAATATATTTTAAGTGTGAAATTAATTTTTATTATTCGTGTAAATTATAGAGCATGTGATAAATCAGATAAATTTTAGATTTATATGAGTTTGTCGGACATAATAAACAAAAAACAATATATATTTTCCAATAATGAAATGTGTAAATATTTTATATATCATATTAATCTAAATACATATATACACTATAAATAGTATTGTCGCAAATATAATAATAAAAAGTTTTTAAAATATAAAAGAAGTTTTAAAAATAGATGATATGATAAGTCTAAATATTACATTTAGTTGGATTTAGATTTGCAAAACATATATTAAATGATTTATGCTATAAAATTAATAAGAATATGTAGAATTAATTAAAATGTTTTCATTGGTTAATTTAAATGACATTTTCCTTGAAACCTTCGTTGAGTGACACATAAGATTTTCACCTTAGTGTCTCTTCAATTAATATTTAGAGGATTGGCATATATTCATATTAGACATATTACTGATTTAACATTCGTTTACATGATTACTATCAAGTCAATTGTTGTTTTATTTGCGTTAACTTATAAGAATTGTGTCTATCTTCAAATAAAGCCACAACATTTATTGTTTTGATCAACATTTTTTTTTATAAAACCAAACATAATCGAAAACATGGAAGGAGAAAATTCATGATATATATGCATTTTCTAACAAAAGATTTTAAAAATCAGTTTTAGACGAATATGAAAATGATATTGTAAGTACATATCATAACAATTGAAGAAAGTAAGAGTAGGATAAGTTTACCTCGGCCTGTATGGTGTAAATCAGCCTATCATCAACAATAGAGGAGATAGAGTTAACAAGGCAGAGACCATTTTCACTAAGCACTTGAAGGACACTCGAAAGCCGCGGTTGGCCACCGCAGAAGCGGCTGCTAAACACTATTTCCACACCAACCAAACACTGACGAACCACCACATGATTCACTATCTTCATGTCATGCTTACAATCGTTCAAGAAGCTTCCTCCAGACAGTAACATGAGCTCATCTCTCCTCGAACTCAGCTCCTTGTTCTTCCTCTGCAGATACTTTATGTAGTTCACCGCCTCGTTCACTTGATCGGACGTAGAGCGCTTACCCTAAAAAAGCAAAAGATCCCGTTAAGAAAGAAAAAAAAAATACAAACCAAGAAAATCAAGATCTAAATTAAGAGAAACACTTTAGTTAAGTCAAAGCACAAAGTCAAAACACTTGCTATGATCCCTTTTTATTTTCTTACAAGGAAAAGACAAATCAAAGGACAAAAGATTGAGTATAGATCTAAAGGAATCATCAAGAAATAAAAATCAAGATTAGGGTTTTAAGTAGTAGTGACCTGGATGTAGTGAAGAGGGAGAAGAGAACGAAGAGAGGCATAAAGAGAAGCCATTTCTTGTCTTCTTTGTCTCTCGATTTCTCTGTGCATCATCTTCTCCATGTCGTTGTTATCAGTACTAACTCTCAGCTTCGTACACCGTCTTCTCTTCTCCCGACAATCATCCATCTAAAAGCTTTTGATTGTTTTAATTAATAGTATATAATATATATATTCCCTTTAGGAGATTCGATTCTCTTCTTCTGATGATGATGAAGTTGAGACAGCAAGATCTGATCTTCTGGGATTTTGTGATCTGGGGTTTGGTCTTTGGAAGAACAGCTCAGGGCTTTGTTGTAAAGTTGTAAATTATTGTCAGTCTTGAGGATTGAGCAAAATAATTTAAATAAAAGATTTTCTTGATAATATTATTTAAATGGAGATGAAGATATGTTAGTTAGACGTATCAGAAAAAAAGAAGGAAATAACATTAAAAATACGTTTATTAGGGTACGCACGCTGTGATGTTTGACTCCTTCATCAATCTTCTTCTATACAATCAAATAGGATCTTCTCCTCCGAGATTCCATGCTTATTAAAAAAATTTATGACCATTATTATACTGCAATCTACATATATTAATTTCACATTAAAAAAAAAGAGAATATTGTCACATTTTCCAAAAATTTCTTTTAAAAAATGTCATTATTGTGAGAATTAATTACACCTACAGATACTTTAGTACAAACTGATAACACATATAGTCACTTCCAAAATATAAACACATTTTTTCAAAAAATGTGATGTTTTTTGTCTTTTTTACCCTTACTATCAGTTTTTATTTCCTTAAAACGCATTGAATAAAATCTTCTATCTTCTCTGTTACCCCTCTCTACCAAATAATAATCTGATGAAGAAAGAATCACCACAACGTGAGTTTTATAGTCTCGGTCGTTCTCTGTTTCAATCGTTCATACGAAGACTAAAACTTTAGAACAATCGGAGACGGCAGCTTCTCATCGACGATTTCTTCCAAGAACGGCGAGTAAAATCAACCATTCTTTTAATGGCTCTAGATTCTATGAATCCATCGCTCAATTGATGGAGAAAATAGAGATTTCTTGAACGATGTTGGAGCCATCGTCGTCTTCTCATCAAACTTCTCATCAAATCCAGACGTGAGGGAGAGTAAAATTGGATGGTCCTTCTGCACCTTGTTTGTTCTTCTCTCAAGGGCTTTTCATGTCGTAATTATATCTTGAGGGTTCTGATTTCTTATTTTTTTCCAGTCCATAATGGGTCGCAAATTATTGGTTTGTATCGGAGCTCTGTTTCTGATTTTGTTCACAATTTTTCCGTCGTCTAGAGCTTTGATTTCGTCTCCTCATGCTAATCCTCCTTACCCTAAAGCCATCTCAGTAAGAAATTTCTCATTTTGTTTTTTTTTTTATTTCCAGGATTTGTCATTGTCTTTTCTCAGTAGTTTGTAGAGAGATTAAGGAAGAAAGTTCTAGTTTTTATGATCAATTTAGTTTCGTTTGTAATTTTGAAGCTCTTAGAGTTGAAAAGTTTGGATTTACCAATTGAAACTAGCATTTAGATGGTGAATTTCTTCTCCTTTGTTTATGATTATAGATGCAAAAGAAGATTTGCAAGAAACTAAAATCTAAGAGCTTAGTCAAAAGCTTATTTGAAGAGGAGTGCCATGGACAAGGTTGATGCTTACATGCCACAGAAACACCAAGACGTCGTGGCAATGGTCAGGCTTGAAATTGAATTATTATAGTCATAATTGAAAGGTTTGTGGATTAATAATTATGGATACTTGTTCGTGAATAAGTTATCCAATTTGTTACTTATCCATGATGTGTAGTTTCACTCCCTTGTATAAGAGGACTATATTTCTATACTTAGATTCATTGTTTTTGAAATACACTTGGTGAGAACATATCTGAATTTGGCTTCACCTGCATGTTCTTACTCTCTCTAAACTTCAATCCGTGAGAGGGTTTTAGACTTAGAGAGGTTGGTGACAATTTTGGTTACCATCATAAAGAATATTCTGGGAAATAGATAATCCATCATTGTGTTGATGGTTTTATGGTCATAATAGACAATCTCCCTACTAATATGGATTCATAGAAAACTTGATGTGATTTGAATCAAGATACTTGCCAATATGTGATCACAGACATGTAGCATGGACCGTATCCATGACCACACAAACTTCACAATGGTCGTTTCTCTATTCACACATACCCCACTAACTTATCCACCAGACAATGTCCACTGGTTGATGTCCATAAAATCTTATTATCATGGATACAGTTTTGAGAATATTTGAGTTAGTTTGATGCAGTATATCTAATTAAGCTATACCTTGTTTACAAAGATAGATCTATGTCCATGTGGATAACATATATCATAAACCTTCAACAAATTTTTTGTGTCCACAAAGTCACGAACACTTGCTTATTAACGGTTAACAAACGGTAAAGACAGTTAAAAGTGTTACGAAGTTCAAAATAAGAAATAAAAAAAACCAATACACAAACCAATCTGATTTTTCAAGGTCACATAAGAAGACAAGTCTAATGAGAGGTCACTTTAAAACTAAAAAACTTGGTAGTCAATTCTTTAAGCTTCCAGCAACCATCCATCCTCGCTCTTTTAGTGGGGAAATTTGATAATCAATTCTCTGAAAGCTCTGCGCCGAGTTCACTTGCAGACCAACGAGGCTGTTAAAGTCTTCGACATGGCACGGAAGAGACACAAGCCACTCAAGTCCAAATTGTATCTTTAGGTTTCTCGTTTGCTCCTTTTCTACATTAAAGTTATAAATAAAGCGTAAATTGGTTATGTATTCTAACACCAACACACTAGAGATCATGAAACAACCCGACCCTTCTTTTATATATATAAATTAGTACCGAATTAGCATCCCCATAAATGCTAACCCTCAACATGCTAAAATTCTCAATACAGCAAACATTCAGCGGAAATCAATTATGCAAATAAACCATTAAATAATACTTTATAAACCAATAACCAATCATTCAACATCCTAGACCGTTCTATATCGACTCACTAACAACCTAGCAATCCAATAATCTACG